CGCGGGGTCCCCGCCGCCGCCGCCGGCCTCGCAGCCGCCCAGCCCTGCCCCGGCGACTCGCCAGCTTCAGCGCTCCTGGTTTTGCCCAGGGAGACACAGCCGGCTGGGAAGGCCCTTGTGCAGCAGACGAGCAGGTGAGCACTGCGGGGAAGGAGAGGCGTCCTTGCTTGAGGTTAACCCTGTGCCCCGGCAGCTCCCAGTGCTGCTAACGCGGAGGAGGCCGCTCCAGGTGGCCGCTCCTCCCGCATCCCACATTGGGCCAGGCTGGGAATTGAGCAGAGCTGCAGCCCTCTCCCCTCGGGGCTGGTTGGCTCCATGGTCTTCCCTGTGCTTGCCGAATAGGCGCCTTCCCCATGGTGCCCGGGAAGCTTCCAGCCGTCAGCACTCTCCTGAGCTCCTTCATGGCATGTTTGCAGCCATTGCCCCTTCCCTTTCTGTTAATCCCGCTTTGATTTCTCTCCTTTAGCCACCAGGTAAAAAAATTCCTTCGCTCCGGAGCCAAAGCAAAAGGGGTTTCACTGGGGCCGTGGCAAAAGGCCCCTCTGCCCTCCCTCTTGCCAAGATGCGCCTTGGTAAGGAAGAAGGTAGAACTTGGCACTGGAGACGGCGGGGTGGGACACACTGTGTCCGTGTGGCAGAGGGGAAAGGCCTGTCCCTGCTCCCGAGCAGAGCCTTGGGCTTGCAGAAATCCTGCGGGGCAGAGGAGGGTGCAGGGCCTCAGGTCTCCTGCTCTGGCTTCTCCAGGGCATCTGGTTTCCCTAGTGTTCCTTCCTCCAGGCTGTTTAGGGCAGGAGAAGATTGTCATGGGATCCACGTGCTTGGAATATCGGGGATCGGGTCATGCGTATTTGGAAGCTCTTGCAGCAAAAATGGGAAGCAGAGGGACCTGGTTCTTCTAGCACTGGTTTGATCTGCCTCCCTTCCGTGGCGGAGGGAAAAGTGGGGACATTGAAATGATAAAGTCCCTTCTGGCCTATGGATAGTGATGGTCGTGTCCTTGAGACGATGGAGTGCGAGAGGGGAAGTCACCCGGAGTCCCGGTCCTGTGTGGGGATCCCTCCCTGGCTCCAGCTGGGCTTGGCAGAACCAGCTCGGGAGCAGACGCCAACAACGGGCTGCTCTCTTGGGTGATTTTTCTTTTATTTTTTTCTTTCTTGTTGCCAGCACCTCAGATCACCCTTAACTGGATTGTTTATTCTCCAGCAGATAACCTTGATCAAAATCTGCAGGTAGCAAATATACAGAAACCTTTTGATTTTTGTTAATGGAAAGAGAAGTGTTGTGCAGTCCTAGAGGGTAAAATTGGGTAATGAGAGGAGGTTGGGGCCCTCCTCTAGGTAGGACATGCTGCCGCCTCAGGGCTTGACCACGCAACTATCCAAGACCTGACAAAGTTGCACCAGGAAAGGGGCTGGTCCAGGTCATGCTCCCTGTGCTGGGCCCTGTCACGTTACCTGCAGGAGAAGCTCTTGAACCTCTTCTGCGGGTTCTCTGCCTGGAAAATGTGGACGTTTTCCTGCTGCTGTGACTCAGGAATCCTTGAAGAGTTCCTGAGGCCTCTGCAGGAGGCTGAGGACGGGCACTTCACTCTGGGGACATGAACATCCTCGTGGGGGAGGCAAGGCAAGGAGGAGCCGTTCCTGCACAATCGTGTGGCTTGTCCAGAGCAGCATCTCCTGAAGGATGGTCAGCGGGAGGCACAAAAGGAAAGAAAAGTGACAGGAGAGGTGGAAGAAGAAAGGACTTCAAACCAAGAGCAGGACTCGAAGGCCTAGTGGGAGAGCAGTCCCTGCCATGGGAGAGAGGAGACGCTGGTGCCCGGGGTGCGTGAGGAGGGAGCCTGCGCGCCAGCTGCCAGCCTAAACACAGGCTGGTCTTGGGCATCTGAGCTTCATCCCTGTGGAGCCCTTGCGGCTGCTTTCGTGTGCGCCGTTCCTGTTCCTGCTGTGGCTGTTTCAGCCCTGGTGAGGCCGCATCTGGAGTATTGTGTCCAGTTCTGGGCCCCACAGTGCAAGAAGGATGTGAAGCTGCTGGAGAGAGTCCATCGCAGGGCCACAAGGATGATCAGGGGCCTGGAACATCTGCCCTATGAGGAGAGGCTGAGGGAGCTGGGCCTGTTCAGCCTGGAGAAGAGAAGGCTGAGAGGGGATCTGATCAGTGTCTATAAGTACCT